GTGTTACGTGACTGTATTTGTGTGCATGTGTTAGTGTGTTGTGTGAACGTGCGTGTGGTATGCGTGCATTTATGTGCAAGACTGGGTGTGCCTGAGTGAGTCTGTGTGTGTGTGTGCGTTGCGCGTGAACGCTGAGACCGACTGGAGAGTGAACTTGCAGAAGATGCTAAACCAAAGCCCACCTAAGCCCCGGGTGGGCCCTTCGGTGCTGGGGCAGACCCCCCAATCCGATTCCGGGGATGGGGAGGGGTCACAGAGGACGCACGTTACGAAACGGCCCCCCGGCAAGTCTGCAAGATGCTGCCTTCAAAACAGGACCAGAGCCTGAATGCTCTCTTCAGGGAAACACCCACGGTGGAAGTCAGGTGACAAGTGACATTCACGCCTGAGGCTGGGAGCCTCCATGTGGCAGGCTGGGTCCCAGGAAGCTTCCTGTGTCCCCACGCCCGAACTTCATGTCAATCCATTCGCTTTGTAACTGGAAAGAGGCCGGGGGAGGCAGATGGGCACCCAGGGAGGCAGTGGCAGAGCTCGGCAGGTGGGACCTTTGCTCTGCTCCCAGGGGCAGGTGCGCGGCCCGACTGCCACTGAAGGTGTGAGAGACACACGTGCAGGTGGGGACCTGCCGGCACTGCCCCTCCCCATTCCCTGCACGCCGTCCTTGTCCTCAGGAAGCGGGTCTGAGTACCGAGAACACCATTTTAGAATGGAGCCAGACGCACAGACCCCACAAAACTGCTCTTGCGGGTTCATTCTGACTTTCTGGGCTGGAATGAGGCTGAGAGGGGGCTCCCACCAGCATCGCAATAAAGTTAGAAATGCAAGTTTGGGGGAGGGTCTATATAGCTCAGTGGCAGAGTGTGTGCTCAGCATGCACGAGGTCCTGGGTTCAATCCCCAGTGCCTCCTCTAAAAATAAATAAAACTAATTACCTCCCCTCTACCAAAAACAAACAAAAAACCAAAATAAAATTAAATAAAAAATGCTGGCTTAAATTTTTTTTAAATTAGTGACCAAGAAAATTGGAAAAAAAAAAAAAAAGAAATGCCAGTTTGTATTTGACTCTTTCTGGACAGTCACCAAAGTTAAAATTTGAAAACAAAATCAAGAGGGACTGAGCACACCCGTCCCCAGCACGGCCCGACCTGCTCTTCCAGTTTGGATCTGGAATTTGGATTTACAGTGAAAACGCTGCCTGCTTCTCAGGCTGCAGGCATTTGAGGGCGCCCTGCCGCTCCGGGCCCCCAGCCCACCAGTCCGCCCCGTCATGCGAGAGCGTGCTACGCTCCGGCTGCATCCTGTTACGCTGTGTTGCATGGCGTTTTGTGTCTGTCTGTCTCCTGCTTTGTAAACAGTACACTGCATCCTCTTGACCTTTTTGTGGAGAGGGAGAAAAGTTGATAATTTTTGAGCCTTTCTCAAAAGAAAGGCATATTTGAATGGAAATGATTTGCTTTATTTTCTCCCAAGAGCAGGAAGTTCTCCTGAAAGAGAGATCTTCACCCCTCTCCACTGAAAGAGTGAAAAGAAAATAAAGTCCCTGGAGCGAATGAGTCTGCAAGTGGCTTCCCTCTGCTCTGAATCACTTGTGGGGAAATTGGAATTGAATTTCTTTACAAAGCTGCAGTTTTGAAGGAGTGTTTCCAGTCCCAGACCCGCAGGGCCGGTGCTTTGGGAACTGGCAAAGCCGGGCCCCCGTTTCTTCCATGACACCTGAATGTGGTCCTGGCAGAGGTTCCTGCCCCCTGATAAGAGCAGGCAGAATTGGGATTCAGAGCTGAGCTCCCCTCACGGACATCTGGTGGGTAGGGGCGGGGAGCTCTATCTCCTACCCAAACCAAACTACACCGAGGCCACAGTGGCCCGGTGTCCTGTTTGGCGAGTCTGTGTCTCACTCGTCCATCTGAAGTCCCATCAGGAACTTTCCAGGGCAAAGCAGGACTGTAACAGAAAAACGAATCAGTGCCTGATGGCTTCGGGGGACCGAGGGGGCCACGATTACGTGGCATCGCCACGCTAATCTAGCAGACTGGAGGCTCAGAAGCCCTCAAGACCCCACTCCAAGTTCCTGCTGTGAGAAGGGCCTGCTGCATTTAGCCGGGGCTGGGATAAACGATTTTTTAGGATAATTATCTTAGTGAGGAACGTTTTTACGTGTTCTTCCCGAGTGCTTCAGAGTGAAGCGGGACGGGGGCGGCTGCTGGGGGAGAAGTGGCGACCTTGATGGCAAAGAGCAAGAGGAGCCTGGCACCCGGTGGGCGGCTGCGTACAGAGCAAAATTCGGCCACACGTTTGACAAACTATTAGGAACACGTAGAGCTTATGTGAGATCGGGGGTGGGAAGGGGAAATCGGAATCAAGGGTTTTAAAACCTTTCGGAAGAAAGACATTTCCTCAGAGGAAACCCCATCTCCGAGCGCCCTCTTTGGGTTGAGTGGATTTCTGCCTCCAAGTTCTCGTGGGCTGTCTACGGTGCACAGGTCTTTCCAACAAGTACTTTAAGTAAAGTGAGACCATCCCCCTGCTACCCAGGTCTCGGCCGTTTACTTTTCTTTTCTCAACAGCCTAATTAAAACCAAAGTCTCGCGGAGAGGATGGAAAAGCTCTGTCTCATGGAATTACCCCTCTGCGGAGGCTGCCTTTGGAACAGGGATGCAACGAGCTGCGGCGTGACGGTGGCCCCCGCCTGGGGACCGCAAAGGGAACTGCAGGCGGACGTCTCTGGGTTGGCTCCCGGAGGCGCCCGGCTAATTCCAGCACCCAGCTCCCTGGCCCAGCCAGCCACACTCCCTTGCCGTGACAGCAGAGTGGTTCCTTAGAGAAACCTGCAGTCCGTGGCATTAACCATTGAGCCCTGGCGTGTTTGGAGAGGAGGGGAACACAGACGGGAGGGGAGAGCCAGCCTCCCCCATTCCCGGCATGAACAGAAGCACCAGCTCTGGAGACGGCTGGAGGGAGCGACGGCCCTCTGTTCACTTGTGCGCTCTCATGCAAAGTGGGGGTGCCACCTGCTTGGCGGGGAGCTAACGCGCCCGCCGGCCCTCTGTGCACAACGCAGAGCCCTCCAACCAACTTCTCCTCCGGGACTCAGACGCTGTTCCAGCACCCCAAGGTGAATGGGCACATCGCCCAGCAGGGGGGACAAAGGAAAAGAAACCTGTATTTCAGAAACCCTAGCCTGTAAGAAACTGGGATTTTCTCAAGCGTCCTCTGAAACGTGCTTGGGTTGGATGTGGACGAACAAGGAAGGGACGTGTGTCTCCTGGAAAAATACCGAGTGACCGACGGGGAGGAGAGGACGGCAGGGCGCTTCCCGCAGCCGTCACCGCAGCCCCGCCAGGTCCAGCCAAGCCCTGAGTCTTTTTCCCGTAACAGTTCTCTTGGACTTTTTGCCTTTCCCTGGAGATGGGCGTTACCTTCAAAGACACACATGCCATCCCTGCCCTCTCAGGTGAGACCGAAACGCTCCCTGGCACAGAGCTCTGGAGGCAAATGCTTCCAAGCGACAAGATGGGCTTTTTTGGTTTTGAAGTGATTTGGAGAGCAAACGATGCAGCTGCTGACACTACTACTACTAACTATTATTATTAGTAATACAGGTTTGCTACAAATAGGCTTACCCTATGCTGTAGCAGTCCCACTCCCGGGCACATATCTGGAGAAAACACTACTCAAAAAGACGCCTGCACCCCAGTGTTGCCAGCAGCACTATTTACAGCAGCCAAGACATGGAAGCAGCCTAAGTGTCCATCCACAGATGGCTGGATAAAGAAGCTGTGGGATATTTATACAATGGAATACTACTCAGCCGTAAAAAAGAATAAAGTTATGCCATTTGCAGCAACACGGATGGACCCAGAGATCGTCATTCTAAGTGAAGTGAGCCAGAGAGAGAAACGAAAATACCATATGAGATCTCTCGTATGTGGAATCTAAAAAAGAGACACAAATGAGCTTATTTACAAAACAGACTCACAGGCAGAAAACAAACTCATGGTTACCAGCGGGGAAAGAGGGTGGGAAGAGATAAATTGGGAGTCTGAGATTTGCAGACACTAACTACTATATATAAAACACATAAACAACAAGTTTCTGCTGAAAAGCACAGGGAGCTCTATTCAACGCCCTGTAGTCCCCTACAGTGAACGAGAACACGAAAATGGATACACGTGTGTGCACGTGAGGCTGCAGCATGGCGCTGCGCACCAGGAACTGACACAACATGGTAAACTGACTGGACTTCAATCAAAAAAAAAAGAAAAAAACAGTAATACAGTTCAAAAAAATCCCCCAGGGCTCAAACTCCGCAACGATGCGGTGCAGCACATCCCCCACTCCCCCAGGTTGTCTGAAGTCCCGTCTCAGGGTGTGGCCCACGCCACCCAGGGAGGGAGAAAGCAAAGCGCTTGGGGGCGAATTTGTTGGCAAGGTGCTGGTCTGCCTGCCCGGGGTCTGAGCGACAGGCCATGGGCAGCAGCGGGGGGACGCCCGGCCCCCCAGCGTCGTGCAGCGTGACGTGATGGGAGGCCTGGGAAGCTCCCACGCTTCTGCTCCCACGGGGTGGGGCTTACCATCCAGACCAGGGGGCACCGTCCCCAGGGAGTAGACGCCTTCTTTCACGTGTACCAGCAGCTCTTCTCCCGGCTCAATGTCCTTAATGACTTTATAATAAATCTAGGATGGAGAAACCAGAGAGAAGGAGTCAGCACTGTGGTCCTGGTGCTTGAACAGCCACCCCGCACACACCTAGCCAGCAGGCCGGTGACCCTGTTCACAGTGGAGGCCAGCCTGCTGGGCCCTCCACCTGCCTTCCAGTTGCTGGTCAGAAGTTCCCCTTTGGAACTTGACAGCATATGTGAGAAAGGGCTACAGTCCATTTTCCTTTGTTTTATCCAGATTTTGAATATTGATAAAGGGGGTGGAAGATGAGATTGGCGAGGATTAGCCCCAGAGTTCCCAAGCAGTGCATGTTCTCAGGAGGATACGAGGAGGAGTGGCTCCCTTCACCCTGAGTGGAGTCTGGGGTGGCTCCCTGTTCCTTCTGTTAGCGTATATGCAAGTAAGACACCCTTTGCTGCCTGGGGCGCAGGTAGAGTCAAGAGTGGATTTGGATGTTTACCAAAGTGGCTATGAACTCGGACAGAGGCCCCATGGGCCAGGTCAGCGGGCATGAGTCTCACGGAGAGTGGACACCATCTGTATGGGAGGTAGGGGGGAGCGTGTGCCTGCAGCAAGCTTGGTGCCAGCAGCTGTTAGGTGTCTGAGACGGGGGACACCCTTGAAGACAGAGAGGGGTGGAGTGGGGCTCACGGTAGAGTCTGCAACCTGCAGCAAGCTTGGAGGGCTCGGGGAGGTAAATTTGGAACGACCAGCCTTAATACTCCAAGCAGCATTGAAAAATGACTGTTTGCATTGGAGGTGGTGGCCAAGATCTGGAAAACTCCAGCAACTTAGAAGGGCCGCAGCTGCATCCTAGGGGCCATCTAGGATGGATCCCAGGGACCAGGCTCTGAAAGCCAGGGAGGCTCTGGGAGAGGATGAGCCCTGCCTTGTCTGTGCCAGACCCTGCCTGGGAGCCCCAGCTCTCTCTGGAGACAAGGGACACAGCTCCTCTGGGTGGGGGTGCCAACTCCTCAAGTGAGCAGAGCTGGCACCAGAAACCCTGCGTCTTAAACCCGCACATGTCACACAGTGGGGTGCATTTCTCTCTGGCCAATCCACTGCATAGCACGCTGACACATGATGTTTGGGTCTCTCTTTAGATAACATTAAACAAGGAGCTTCCAGGAGCCCAAAGGCTCGGCCACAGGACTGCCTGGGAGGCTAGAGGAGGGCCCAAGAAGATCCATCTGCCCTGGGAGATGCAGAACGGAGGCTTCTCCAGGCCACTCCCACCCGGGATGCTCCAGCACCGCCCTCCTGTGGAGGACCTGGTGGCCACGAACCAGGTCAGGCTTCCCGGCAGTAGCTGGACGTGGTCTGGGCGCCCCAGAGACTGAGCTGGGTACCGGCTCGCCCTCCTCCCTTGACCCCACCCTTATCCTCGGGAAGCATCTGGAGGGCTGAGCCCCCATCTCTTGTCCGGCCCCTTACCGCCTCTCCCCAGGCTGAATCCAGTTGTGAACGCCCTCCCAAACCACCAGGCCAGATTAGCTTGAGAACACCACCAGTGTGCTCTCTAAAGGACAGCAGAGCCACGCTGCACCCCCAAATGCCCAGCTGAGCACGTGGACAAAGGGGCTGCTCTCAGCAGCAGAGAACGCACGTGCTCAGAGGTCCACGTGGAGGGTCCTTCTCCCTGTGCCCACGAGGAATTTCATTTGGCAATTATTCTCTGGCGCGTCGCTAAAATAATGAGGAGATCTTAAAACGGAGAAGAGAAACTGTACCATATTCACCGCTGTGATCAAATCAGCTGTGAAGATCCCACTTTTGCGTTATCTCATCTAAAAAATTACTCAGAGGCTGAATAATAGTTTAAAAACTTCAGACTCGAGCCACTTATTTCAAAATCGGGCCCCGCTCTCCAACAAAGCCCGGATGAGACCCTGAGCGTCCCGGGGCGGTGAGTCAGGGGTTATTAATACGCGGGGACAATTGCACTTTCATCCGGCCGGTAAGCG